GTGGTGGTGATCTCAATACTACTCCTGATGAACAAGCAGACAATTACCTTGACGCGTGTGATGTTGGTAGGGTGCTGGGAGTTGAAGTTGATTTACAGATGTCGTGGTGAGGGTTGGCTATTGCACAGGCGACACTTGGGGTTCTTATCGCATTCATCTTCGAAGTGTCCACCGCGTCCACACATCACTTGAGTGCAGACCTTGTTGAAGCCGTCTGATCCACATCCAGTATCAGTCTTGGCGTTGCGGGCAAAGTGATAATTGAAGACTCCTACCACGTGGTTGATCTTGTCTGCTCCGGATGCCTTGAGGGTACCATCGGGCTTCGGTGCCGGTCACGTATCGTGCCACGAATACGTGCGAGCGACGAAGCATTGTCGAGAAAAGTCTGTAATCAATATCTCTCCCCCCTCGCCCTATCAAACCTCCTATCAACACTTAGCAGAACGCATTGCCGCAACGCCAACGTGGGGATTGTCGTGAAGCAAGTCGGACCTCGCCGCCGGAGCTGAAGAGAAAACAATGGGTCTGCTGGACTCGTCATCATGATTATGTTCTGAGCGCTTTTATAGCAGTCCCCGTCAGTTATCTACCCATCACCCTCTCTCCAGCTTTTTGCCTCCCAGGTGTGACAACCAATATCCTCATTATACACGCTCAGGATAGACCTCAAGCTCATTCACAGAAGGAAGTCGAGGTCTGGAGGGGAGGCTAGTGTAAGCCAGCTCAAGACGAAATGAACACCTGACACGTAATCCACGTTTTATTTGTTCCAAATAACTACATCAGCAAACCCAAACAGACACGCTCATCTCCGTCGGAACAAAAATTTCACATGCCTTTTCTTGCGTAATTGCTCTGTTTCCTAAGCTTGGCTCCCCTCTACAATAATTGTCAGTCAAGATCGTTCACAGTACACACAACGGGGACGGGAAGGTGTTGAAGGGAAGAGGGGTTCATCCTTACCGTGTACAAGATAAAGGGCAAAGGCACAAACGCAACAGCGAAAATGGCCAAAATCATACTCGACCCGAGCACGTCGAACCGATAATACATTGGCGGGATGAACAGCGGGAAAGTCGCCCCGCACATGGCGTTGAACAGCTCATTCCCCGCTAGGACGGAACTGACGTGATCCGGGTACGACTCGGCGAGGTAATTCAGAATTGAGATGTACAGCAGCAACCCACCCGCAGTGAAAAGCGACGACCCGACAATGGGGACTAGGTAACTTATCTCGGGCCGCGCCGTCCACCCGAACCAGACCAAGCTGGCAGGGATGAAGAGGCAGCCTACCATGGCCGGGTGGAGGTGCTTCTCTGGCTCGATGTTGCCGTCGCGGTCAAAGTGCGGCTCGATGCGTTTGCGGTAGTACAGGAAGAACGGCGGGATGGTGAGCAGGACGCCGACGATGAGACCTAGTAGTGCGATGCCCTGTTTTCCTGTACCAAAGTGGTATACTTCGCCGTAGGCCTGCGGCAGGGCCTCGAACCAGATATACATCAGCCCGTAGGCGAAAGCACTATACAGGTTCAGAAAGAAGACGGCTGGCTCGGTGACGACCAAGGTGAAGGGCCGGACGAGGTGCGCTTTGAAGACCTCCGTGCCAGCGGTGTAATCCGCGCGCAGCTGCGCCTCGCAGACAAAACCCGGGTCGCCAGTGACTTTCCGTAGGCGCATGGCCCGTCGATACAAGATATTGTCGGCGCTCGTCTCCGGCAGGAAGAAGATGAGCACGACCAGGATCCAGGCGGCCAGCCAAGAGACGATCCAGGCAGACCAGGTCCACCCCTTGAGCTCGACGGCGAAGCCGCCGACGATGGGCCCGAGAGTGGGACCGGAGATGCCGATGAGACAAAAAGAAGCCATGGCGTAGGTGTGTTTGCGGGAGACGAACATGTCGTCGAGGATGCCGGCGGCGGAGCCGAGGACGGGGGAGCCGAAAAAGCCCGCGAGGAAGCGGAAGCCGAGGAGCATGCCGATGGAGGTGGCGAGGGCGATGGGGATCTGGGCGAGGCCGAAGATTGTGAGAGCGGGTATGTAGATTTGGTTGCGGCCGATCTGGGGGATTTCGGAGAGGGGGCTCCAGACCATCTTTGCGTTTTGTTAGTACGTGATGTACAGGTGGATGAGTATAGGGGGAGGAGGAGGAGGGGGTAATCGAGATTAGACTCACTGGTCCGAGACCGTAGCCTAGGACAAAGACTGTTAGTCCTAAGAGGGCGACGACCTCCGAGACGCCGAATTGCTGGCGGACGCCGTGGGTGCCGACGGTGTAGATTGATGCGCCTGCGTAGACGGCGATGACGAGAAGGCAGATGTGGAAGCTGACGATGGCTTTCTTCACGACGGACCAGTTTCTCGGGTTCTGTGGTATTACACCCTTAGTTCCGATGTCCAAAAGGCGAGAGTGAGAAAGGGGGGTTGCTGTCTTTGTTACCTCCGGATCGTTTGGCAAGAACTCGACGAGATGGAGGCCCCTTCTATTCTCGATGCCATACTTTTCCCACGTCGTACGGCTGATTGTCTGGTTGCCCAGGATCTCGCTATCTGATTTCTCCGAGTCTAGTGAGAATGCTCGAACTTGAGTATGTCTTGAAGCGTATGAGAGTCTTCAGTTCAGAATGATAGATTACGTGTTAGTCTAGCGCCTTAATTCTTTCATTGTGTACTCGTAACTGACCCCGAGTTTGACCGATCATAGCCACTTTCCGTGTATCTCTGACGGATCAAGGGGTGTCTCTCGTCAAAGTATTGGAACGCCGGGTGCCTGGCCCTGGTGACGGCTCGTATGACGTGCCATGCCCAGGTATCTCGAACGATCTCGTTGAAAGTCATGTTGCGCGCGTCGAATCCGGGGGTCAATTTACTGGCCAGGCAAAAAGACTCAGATGCCAGGAAAGGGTAATTTAATCCTCTATATAAAGAGGATAAGAATAAACAGTAACGAATTCGAGTCGATGGTCCGTCAAGTTTCAACTTTCTGCATTGTCGAGATGACCGTCATCGTCCTAAGCAACGAACAATGCAAGATTTCTTGTTTCTTGATAATCCAAAGAAACGTTAATGACCGCGGTTTCCCGACACAAACACACTGATTTCCGCCCCCTTGTCAAGAAGAAGAGAAGTTGTGGGAGCCGTTGGAAACTCGTTTCGCTGTCCTCTGGGGGAGACACACGGTCCCCCCTCCTCCTCTACTTGCCCGATTACGTCCAGTGTGAAACTTTGCAAACTGAGTTGCGCAAATGTGGTCAGTCGAAGAGGTGTGGTGGCATGGCTGAGCGGTACGGGTACGGGCTTGACCCAAGGTAATGGACAATGCACTTCCTATAGCGGTTAATTGGTTCGAGCATTCTCCTAGGCTTCCGGGCGGCGCGCTCCCGGCTCGAATTTCCACTCATTTTTCGTCCCGTCCGGTCCCCGCGGATTGGCCCACCTACCGGTATGGGGCCGTGTGCATCCCTCCCCCCGGCGACTTTGGCCAGAGCTTGGTCTGGGCCAAGATTGTTTCTATGCATTTGACGTCAGTGAAACAAATCGATCGAATCAGTTTATAGCTGGAGCGAAGAAGAGACAAGCAGGGAGATTGTCGGTGAGCGTGCAAGTGTTCAACATATTAAATGGGCATGCCAAAAGCTCTAAATATGATTTGGTATTTATGTCGCTCACTGTCAAGCTGGACTCAACTTCCTTTGACACGTTTGGCCATTATCTAGAATGCTGATTTCGTGTTCTCAAGGTTGGTACGAGACAGGAAAGTCTCGTCGAAGCAAACAACCTTGGATCAACTGAAGTTGAAATCAAAGCGTTCGCAACAGAGTTATAAGTTGACTGTCACTCGTGAAGTGGGGGTGGCTCTCATGCGTGCACTTAGTTACCTTGGTCGGCAGCAGCTTGAGTCGGCATCCGGAGCTCAATGCACCGATGCCGGGGGGCTCCAATGAAGTGGTCCACCACATAACTTTAAACTTCCAGTCGCATACATCCAGCATGCATCCAGCTTGAAGCTAGCTTTGCGCCGTCAACAACACCAGACGACCACATAACAATACGAGTTCGCGATCGAAATCAACAGACACATTGCCAACATGTCCGTCACATTACATACGAATCTCGGCGACCTGAAGATCGAAGTCTTCTGCGAGAGCGTACCAAAAACAGCAGAGGTAAAAAAAGACCCCTTCCCAATCGTCCCAAGACTTTCCCTTCGCATCCCACCCGCGGCCGCTCACCACCACCCTCAAATGTATCGCGAGACACTCTACCCAACGGACGACTAACCATTCCCTCTCACAGAATTTTCTCGCCCTCTGCGCATCACACTACTACGACGCCTCACCCTTCCACCGCCTCATCCCGAAGTTCATGGCCCAGACCGGCGGGCCGGCTCACCCGTCGCCCCCGGACAACCCAAAGGGTGGCCGCTCCATCTGGGGCGGCGTCTTCGAGGACGAGATCCGGCCGGCCCTCAAGCACGGCGCGCGCGGCGTCGTGTCCATGGCAAACAAGGGCCCCGGCACAAACGGCTCGCAGTTTTTCGTCCTGTTTGACAAGGCGCCGCATCTGGACGGGCTCAACACCGTCTTTGGGCGGATTATTGGGGACGATAGCACCGTCACGCTGGGCAAGATTGAGGCGGTCGAGGTGGATCGGAAGAATCGGCCCAAGGAGCCGGTCGTGATTGAGAGGGTTACTGTCCATGCGAACCCGCTTGCTGGGTGAGAGAGGGGTTTGGTCTGCTGGGGGTCGTGAGGGACTATGAGGAAGGGAGGTTTCGTGGATGGCTCTGTGAGTGGAAACGACAAAAAAGAGATAGACATGAGGGAAGAGATCCCTGAAGCGCTATGATACCCGCACGTCAAAACGGTTCAAGACTGTCCTGACGGCACACAATTGTTTAGATAAAAAGAAAGACTTGGCTTTGCAAAATTCATCGCTCGGCCAATCATGAGCCACCGCAACAACCTCTAGAGTGACAGAGTCGTATTTTCTTTCAAGTCATGCGAAGCCTGAAGACGTGGATATCATATCCTGGCGGTATTGCTCGTGAGCCTCCTGTTCTCGGCCCAGCCGCACATGAATTCCCCACGATGGCCTATCTGTACAAACGAGCCCAGCAGTGCCTGAATTTCCATCTCCAACAGCAACCTTTGACAGACTATTCTCGAAGTTGGAGCTTTAAGCGGTTGGTCACAATGGCAAGGAAGAGAGACTGCACACGCAAGCTAGTACGCACCCGAGTCCTTGGAACAGGGAGAAACGTCGAAGTCCGACATTGGGAGAAGAGAAAATCGAGTTTGCCAGCTCTAGGCTGTATTGCTTATGGTCCTCAAGTCGTCATCTACACATTGGAACATTGTCACGAAAGTGAAGCCGTTATAACCAGTGTTGGGGACATCTTGGAGCATGCAAATCCTAGTTCCTCCATCACCATCTCATCCATTTACTCCTGCCGGCGCAAAATGCTGCTGCTGCTGCCGGTCAAGCTCAGCTCAGCTCAGGATGTCCATGCCAGACATGACATCCCTATCTCCCAGGCACAACGTCACTAGAAAGACATACCAGTATGCAAAACCAGGAAAGGTGGACCAAAAACGTTCCATAATTTGCCTTCGCTATAAAGTACCATGACAAAAAGGCACGAGCCATACGCAACCAAGCCAGAGCCAGGTAAACAAGCTCGAACCCCTATAATGCAAAACAAATAATATGGAAAATGAGGTATCAACACAACAACCCAAAACTCCGCCTATGCGAGATCGGGGCAGAGTGAGTGATGGGATCGCCGAGAAAGGGGGACGCCAAATAAAATGACGAGAAGAAACAAAAGTGTGTTTGACATATCCTCCATACGGGTCATTGACACCATAACACATGTGTATGACCATTCATTTATAACAAAAAAAACCTGTCCGCTGCTTCTCCATCTTCATGGCGCCGGCAGCGCAGCAGCAGCTTTCTCCGGCTCAGCTTCCGCCGCCGCTCCCGCCTCTCCTTCCTCTTCCTCTTCTTCTTCCTCCTCTTCGACTTCTTCGTATTCAACCTCCTCTTCCTCCTCCCCCTCGCCCTCCTCTGCAACGATACCGTTCTGTCTCTCCCAGACCTGCCTCCGAATCATATCGTCCTTTGCCTTCCTTGCCCGCTCCACCTCCTCAAAGCCGCCAGACTTCTTCAGCTTTCCCTCCTCGACGAAGTTGGACAGCTCCCTCTGCAGCTCATTCCCCTTACGGCCCTCGAGTTCCTTCTGCCTCAGCTTCTCCGCGCGTTCGATGGCCTCGAGACGGTTCTCGTGGTTCGGCTGGAGCGCCCTCACCTCGCCGAGGACACCGTCCTTGGCCGCGTTCGGGTCAAGACTGTTTCCGATCCCGTTCAGCCCCTTGGAAAAGTTGCGGGCGCTGCCGGCGCTGGCGCCCGTCCCGTTGTCCTTCAACTGCTCCTTGGTGGCCTGCTCGACGAGCGCAAAGGTTTCAGACGCCTTCTCTAGGTCATCCTGCAGATCAATCATGAGATCCTCCATAAGGCGCAGCTCATCACGGCCCTTGCACACGTCCTCAAGCTCCTTCTCCCAGATCTTGGTCCATATGGGCTTCTCTTCCTTCATGTAATCCTCCACCTTCTTGAGCTCCTTGGAAAGCTTCGTGATGTCCATGGCGACAGTCTCCAGTTGCCTAGGCAGGGGCCGCACACCACGGAGAACCACGTCTTTGCGGAGGTCCTCGACCAAATCTTGCAGATCGTCGACCTTTGTGACGAGCCGATCGGAATCTGTGTTGAGCTGCTCGCGACCTTTGGTGACGTACGCATGGCCGGTCTCACCATCAATGGTCGGTATCGAGGCCTTGACCACCGCCGCCTTGACATTGCTTGCCTTGCTGCGGATGGCTGACATGGAGCCTTGGATCTCCGACTGGAAGCTGGAGTAGGCCTGGCGCATGACAGCAAGGTCGCGGCGCAGGGTCTGGATTTCAGTAATGTGCCCGGAAGCGAGCTTACGGCCACCAGCAAGGCTTGCTGACTTGGACCCATCAGTAGGCGCAGACACAGCAGGAGGGGCGGCAGCAAGCCGGGCCATCTCCGCAACCGCCTCTTGCTGTCGTTCCGAAACTCGCTGAAGGGCCAGACCTTGGTCGTCTTGGTTCTGCTTCACATCCTGTACTATCTTCTTCAGTTGTCCAATGCCCTCATCGATGTGACGTTTTACTTCATCCAGCGGTTCGACATTCAAGACCAACACTGTTCGATCCTTGATATCTGACAAATCCTCGAGTTCGTGCCTGACACCTGATACGGGGTCTTGGATGTATATCTCTGGAAGATCAGCTCCATTGGAGTGTGTGTTCCAAGAGAACTTTTCGATGAACGCCAATTGGAGGCGTCCAATGGAGAGCTCGCTGTACCCCTCAGGTAGCACAAACTTCTTGACTTTGGACTTGTATTGCAAGAACAAAGTGAGTTCTGTGGTCAGGGGCGGAGACTGTTCGTGAAGGAAACTGGCGTCGCGTTTCTTCTCCGGAGTCTTAATCCCTGGCGAGACCTTGGGTTCATCTTTGCGTGGTGGGTCGGGCTTGCCATCATCGTCGTCGGGTGACATAATAGGGAGATCATCGCTCATAGGGCCTTTCAGGGTAGCGCTGGGTTTAGGGTATTTGTCTTCCGGCGTTTGTATCGTGGGACTCTCGGGCCTGCCTGCCGACAGCTCCGCTGCGGCCTCGGCACGACTCGGTGCCGGGGAGGTATCTAGTTGCGGTTGCTTCGAGGCCCGGTTTTGGCGGAGCGTCTCTCGGGTCTGCACAGCGCGCAGAGACTCCCGGACTTCGCCCCGCCCGCGGTTCGGTATCGGGGAATTTTGCGATGGCAACATTGGCACGCCGTTCATGGCACTGCCAAGGTGCTTGGATATTTGATACTGCGAGTAACGCCGAGAAGCTCTTCTCTCCAGATCGCCGCCCTTCTGCAAAGCCGCAAATGCGCTTGATTGCTGCTTTGGAGGAGGTGGCGGCGGTGGAAAAGAGTCCACGTTGACTTCTCCAGACTGCGCAGAGGGCATCGTTGCCTCGTCGCCGGGGTACGGAGGCATGACGGGTATGTTTTGCATCGTCGTACTAGATATGGAAGACTGCTCCGAGTTGACAGAACCGCGCGACTGATCTCTCGGGGGCAGGTGTCGACGACTTGGAGAGGTGCTTGCCGGGGCGGCACCGGCGGATTGGGAGGATTCTCTCTGAGCGTCTGGTCGATAGCCATTCTGAATGCCCTCCTCCAACAGATTCGTCAACCCCGTGTTCCCACTGCCAACCGTGCTCGTGCTTGTCGTCCGCTCCGGCGCGTTAGCTGAACCCCCGCTTTCCCTGTCTCGTGGTTGCTTTTGCCGCAACTTTTGCTGTTTGCGCTTTAATCCATGCAGCAGGTTGATGATGATATCTCGAATTCGTGGGAGGTATTTCTCCAAGCTTTCGGTGCTCGCTTCTTGGCTCAAGGTAGACTCTAGTATGCTTCGTAGCAGTTCGGGAACATTGCCCAGGTCGGAGGTGTCCACGTTGATGGCAGTGAAGGCTCGGCATGCCATGTTGAACTCGTATCCTAGTCTGACGTACACATCAGAAACCTGACCGTCGGTAGCTTGGCCGCGCGACCATTGTGTAAGGGTTTCCAGGAGTTGTTTGGTTGCGACTAGCAAGTGAGTAACGCTCTTCTCAATTTGAGACAGGGGCATGGCTGAGCTGCTGGTAGAATTCTGTGGATCGGGTCTCGGTCAGCTGCTGACGTACAAGAACAGTGATGGCAGAGGCACAAGGGCTCGTTGCGCAGTCATCGTATCTGGTGGAAAGCTCGAGGATGGCTTCCCAGTTGCTGAAATGCGTAATCAGACTCACATTTGACCTCCGCATGCCATTTGGCGGGGCGGATCGGTTCGAGGCGTTGGAAGCTCTCGGCTGCATGCCGGTGCCTGGTGATATTGACCGGACGGGCACATTTGGCGGCGGCCCAGGTTCGGCACCGGGGGAGCGCCGTTGCATGCGCTGCGAAGGGGTCGGCGCCTGCATCGTAATTCAAATCGGCGGGTTTCCTGTCTCTGCGATGATCTGGTCCACCTCTTCCTTGCGCTTCCCCAAACAGTTTCTCCGATATGAGGTACCCAAAAAGTTAAGACGAGGGAGTCGGTAGAAGTGGGTGGAAATGGCTGGATCGGCTCGCAAACGTTTATGGAAGCAGAAAATTGAAGTTCATGCCACGGAAAGCAAAGACAGTGAAGGGCGGACTCTGCGAAGCTGCTGCCGAGGTGTATGTGCGTGCGTCGGGGCAAGATGGTGAGCTTCGTCTCATCCGATGGCTAGTCCGAGGGTGAAAAGATCGATACGGCGAATGGTGGTCGGCGGTAAGGGGGGTCGTCCAGTCCGGTGCGAAGGGTAAGTGGGTGTTCTGTGTGCGAGATGGAAGCTGTAAAAGCAAGGGCTAAAACGCGTCCCGAAGAAGCGAGCGGAAGTTCTGCGATATAGGTGGTAGGTGATACGTTATCGGGGATGCCGTCGATGGCGTTGTCGTCCGTAACAAGATGTGAGGCGCGCAGAATGTCGCAGATTGTTTGATTAGTAGCGAGACCTCAGGGAGGGAAACTTGGGAATCGACGAGCCCAAGATCGGTTGCAGATGGCAGAGCGCAAAAAGGCAATGCAGAATGCAGAAGGAAGCACAGTACGGCACAGCAATTACGATGTGGAATTTCAGGTGAGGTATGTATGTACGAGGTACAAGTGGCAGCATGTATATGCAATGTCGAACCGTGTTCGGAAAGCGGAGAGGTCTCTGGCCGTATCCGTAGCGTTTTCGGCCCAAAGACCCAGAACTTCTACAGCCCAAAGATTGAAAGGCCCTCTAAGGCCCGGGGGACGGGACCGCACACTTTCCATGCTCTGCTTTTTTTCTTCTTCAGTGTTCTCCTCTTCTTTGAACCTTGCCCTTTGGCTGTTTCCATGCCCTGGTTCGCCGTCATTCCCCTCCCCCCAGTCAGAGTACCTAAAGCATAAGGTACGGAGTACCTCGTGGCACGCATGGCACGGTACTCGTCGGGTGCGCCTTGAAGCGGTACCCCCAGTCCAAGTCCGCTGCCCGTCACCTCATCCTGACAGTGGAGCGCTGACTGGACTCCTTCCACTGGCTCCTCGGTGGCTTGACACCCCGGTCAAGGATGAATCCACGGTGCACGTGCCCCGTTTACCAGCCATCCGACATGCAACTCGGTACCACTCACCAGGGCACTCACCACTCATCACCACCACTCAACCACTGTCTCAACCAGAACCAGGAATATCACACCCCTTGAGCCCGAAATTACATACAACATCATTGATGAAACAATAACGAATGTTTCAAAACATTGGTAGTCTGTGATGTTTGCTCTGCAGAGCGGGGTGCACTACTTCGTACGAACATCTTAAAGTCAATCCTCATATCGAAGGGGAACATCTCAACTTCATCGCCATGGACGACTACCTGATATACACCACCACGCATGCGCAAGATGCAAGATGGGGAGAAGTGTCCGGGCGTTGCTCCGACTAGCTTCAGAATTATACGGATAGTTGCTCTTCTTCAGACGCCTTGATGGGGTAAAAGCCAACGAAGCCACGGTCAGTGCATCCAAGCTTTCCATTTATCCTCCTGTCATTCGAGTCCTCCAGAGTGCCAACCAAAGAGTAACGGTGTGTTTGCTCGACGTCTAAACCCTGCGAGCCGTTGTCAGAGGAAAACGAGTCTGGTGTTTCAACCTTTTCCCTCCTGGCTGGGCTGTCCATGGCTTGGGCGCATCATTACATCACCAAACTGCAACCATAGGGCCAATCCTTGAGTGGTTCAATCTACTTTATTCCCCATGATCTACGCCACGAACCATTGAGCTCTTTAGAAATCTTGTGCTAGCACTGAGCAGTCACATCTAGAGCTTGTCATTCCAAAAATCCTGGCCACGTTTCTTGCGCTTGACAGGTCGTGACAGGGCACTGCGCCACTCGACAAAGATGAAGATCACCTTGTCACCCTCCCCCCAATTCCAGAGGCATGGGTTCCATTGGCACCAAAGTACGGAAAATAAAGCATGAACATGGGCTACAGGGACCTCAACCCGACTCCAAAACCTATCGTGCTTCGTTCCACACCTCACTGCATTCTACAAATAAGAACTCAGCCACACCTTCTTCCTACTAAGACGCCAGCATCCTTCGCATGAAAAAGAACGAGTGTACCATGGCACTCGCCAACGGATGCAACACCCACGGCGTCTCGAACTTGACATGCCTTGCTATCGACGTCGCGATGGTCGTCCGCGGTGAACCTGCAGTGAACATGAAGTCGTGCATGAGCTCGTCCGTCAGTCGCTGCACCTTTTCCATCCGGGGGAACATGTCCTTCTCGAACGCCTCGATCCTCTTGTCTAAATAATCGGGTGTATCTGCACCTTCACCTGTACCTGCATCACCGCCCTCCGCGGCTGCGCTGATGATGGCTTTGGCTAGTTTCATCGCATCCTTAAGCGCAACATTGACTCCCTCGCCCGCAAACGGCGTCATTAAGTGCGCCGCATCTCCAATGACTGTCACGCCGCGCCGGTGCGGCCAGGTGAAGCCCACAGGGAGCATATAAAGCGACCTCGGAGTGCACTCGCCCGCAGCTTTGGTGATGGCCTCGGTGAGCTCCGGAGCCCAATCCTGATATAAGACCAAAAGCGCCTTCTTGACGGCCTCGAGGTCGTACGGGTCATATCCGCAGACTTCGGGGGAGGCCCAGTCCTCCCCGCCGCCAGTGCTCGACGCATAGATACTCAGGCTGCCATCGCCCATCTGCTGAATCGACAAGCGTTTGCCGTCGCTGTTGGCAAACACGCTACCTCTGTTGGCGAGCTTGTACACTCGGGGAGCTGTCTCGGCCACGTTCGGGATGCTCATGCCGTATAACTTGATTTCCGTCCACAGAGGCTTGATATCCGGCGCCAGGAGCCCGCGGACCTTGCTCCAAGCCCCGTCTGCGCCTACAACTAGATCGAAACCACCAGTGTCGGTATGTTCAAACATGAGACTGCCGTCTTCTCTGACTTCCTTGAGGCGGTGACCCCATCTAATCATATTCGGTGGAAGAGACTCGGCAAGAATCTCACGTAACTTGGGACGGTCAATCTCTGGACGCTCCTGCAGCGTGCTGCCGAACCCCGTTGCAGAATTAACAAACCACGGCTTGTTGTTTTTGTCGACGATGGCCATGTACTGGCCGTCGTACCGCGCGTGCTTGAGGAACTCGTCAAAAAGGCCTGCTTCCTTGAGCGCGGCCAGTCCGGTGTCTGTGTGTAGATCCAGACTCCCTCCCTGCGATCGAAAGTTTGGTGAGGCCTCGCCCTCGAAGACGGTTGCTTCGATCTTGGCTAGGTGTAAGAGGCGTGCTAGTAGACATCCTGACGGAAGATTTGTCAGTTTGCATGCTGACTTGAGGAATTCATATGAGCGTGGTGCAGTATGATGTTTTAAGAATAAGCAGCTTACCTGCAGGTCCTGCTCCTATGATTGCTATCTTGGGATTCGACATGGCTGGTCAGGCCTATCGGGTGAGTGATGACACTTCAACTTCACGTAGTTTACGCTTCGTGACGAGCCCAATTAAAGGTCCTGGAGTAGACAACACAAGTGCTCTGCTTAGTTTGACAGGCTCAATGTACTTAGAATCCGGGTATTGGAAAGTCTTATTTAGTAAGGATAAGGTTGTACATAATATATCCTCACAAGGCGAGACATGTGGAATGAGATTTGTGTGGACAAGAGCGTACTATGTATATACCGCCGGATTAGTGGTGCCGGAATTGATCCAACGACTGTACGATTTTAGTCTGCCCGTCTCTCAAATATTCAACGAAGGAGCGCTAGACGCATAGCGCTCTCGTACCCGCATTCGCAAGTGATTGCAGGTGCAGCACTTGTAGTCGTCAGTTAAGAGAACCCCAGGCACTGTTCAGGGACATGTCGTAGGTGGCTCATAATTGCTCCGGAATCCCGCTTCAAATGAACTTCTGGACTGGCAGCTTTCCTGCGAAATCCGTTCCATGCTGTAAGTAGCACTAGACAGGCCAAAAGCGATGACGCAGCTGAGCATTACAGCTTCAAGATAGTGCAAAGCTTGACGCCGTTTAGCCGTGGCCTGTCAGCCGTGAGACCCAGCTTCAACGAGGCTATTCGCAGTGAAAAGCGACATAGATCTTATGCCGTGTTGCTGCAGTGAAGTTTGAATATTAGAAAGGGATTCCTGCCATCTCATCTTTCTGTGTTCTGAGTGGTCAAGCACCCAGTACCTCAGAGAGGGAGAAGAGTGGAGACCCGCTCACCCGTTCAGTGCCGTCCTCGTCGCTTGAGGCTCTGTTTGCCTCAGGCCACAAAGGCATCGAACTCGGAGCTTGCACTTCGGGGAATCCAGAAACCTTCAATTGATCACATCCGCCCGAGCTGACTGCCCCCCCATATAACCTCGTCCATCAACAAAACCAAACAAACCGCCAAAATGGTCTTCGCCTGGAAAGCCGCCGGTATCACGTGAGTTTAATTGACGACGCCCTTCCGAGCCTCTTTTGCATCCGTTGCAATTGGGCAGCATCCGCGACCGAAGCCGAGAAAAGGAAGGAAAAAGCTAATCCGGCAACCCCCGATTTCCAGCTACAACCGCTACCTCGCCGTCGCCTCGCGCGTCGTGCGCCGCAGCCTGAAGGAGGACAAGAGACTCATTGCCGAGCGTCGCGGAGAGATGGATCTCCGTTTCGCCAAGTGGGAGGTGAGAAAGCGATCCGAACACATGACGATGGGCATCGAACAGAATGACTGACTCCAATGTACCGCAACGCGCAGAACGGCAAGCAGGGCGAGATCAAGAACCTTGCCGAGGCCACCGTCAACGTTCCTCCCCCTTCTTCGTAAACTCCGAACCGACAATCATGTGAGAGATAAAGAGGGAATTGCATCCGAGGGTGATCGAGGGATAGATGGGGAATGATGGGGAGTCAAGACGCCTCCCCGGGTACCCGCCGGCTTCAACTGGACAGTTGAGCTGCTGTATCATATCAAAAACTGGGCATAAAATCTATCAATCGAAATGCCATGCTAAGATTTTGTTGATCGATCTGAATTGAATACGTGCACTACCAGGCGCCGGTGATGAAATGTTGCGATGTCGGGGAGCGGGTGACCGGCGCGCGCTTTCGCTCGACGTCGGCCAGAATGTTGGGCGTGCTTTCCAGGTTCCCTCCACCCAAATTTGCCCGCCTGCCGGACAAATTCGGTTGTGATCAATCAATCAATGTTTCCCGTTCCATATATCCGTAACTTGCAACAACACCAAATTCGTAAATTTTCGTATTAAAGTAAAAGACATAACTGCTGCACTTTTGTTCTCACCTGCTTCTTGAGAATCATTTCATAAGGGACTTAGGGCAATCATCGTGTTCCCGAATTTACCGGCCATTTTTTCCCTTTGATGGGCATATCCATGCCCAGGCCAATGCAACTGTGACCTCACTAAAACCTGCACCCAACGCACTCACTCAACCCCAGAGTCTCATGAGGTGCAGTTGCTGATATGGCCATCCCGTCCGGCTTTGGAATGTCTGATGGTAAGAGAATATCCCAGCCCGATTAACAACCTTTTTTTGGCATCACGTCCCACTCACCAGTTCTCAAGACATTTCAAGGCTCTCGCTTGAGCTAGACCGTCAACCCCACCCCCCGCCGCCGCCTCCGCCCAAGGCGACGAACAACGGCATTGTCGCTTTTGATATCACGTCAAAATTCAAGACAGCCGCCGAAAGTGAGCTGCAGTAATCCCGCCACGCTGAGGACAGGATGTTGAGCTGACCGTCTTACGCAGCGCTTGCCCCTGGCGAACTGGTCAAGGATGGCTTCTTCACGCTGTTTGAGTCCGTTGGGGCTCTCGAGGTACGTGGGCCGATGAGGGTTTGGGGAGGCTATGAGGAGTTCCCTACTGACGGCAACCCAGATCATGGACCCGAAGATGGACAGCGGCTGCTTGGAAGCCGAGGATTCGCTAGACGTGGACTACGATGTGACACGCCCTCTTCTCCCTAAGGAGGTTCTTGGCATAATCGACCAGCTGCTCTGCCACGAAGTTAGTTCCGCGCCTTGAGAGTCACATTCTCTTTGCTGACTTTATTTGCAGATGGCATGGCATATTGGATATCCTCTCTCTCAGACCGTTCTCACAAGCGTGTACGTCGAGTCAATTCTCATGCCGAATCCTGCCACCATCGACGACGCGCACTTCATCAGGGATGCCAACGGCACGCCGCCGGCGCCGATGCATGCCGTTCTTCGAGCGTATTGCTTGGGACTCTTGAAGACGTGTGGCAATGTCAACGAGAGGATCAAGAATGAGCATTACTACGAAGTCAGTCTTTCCGCACGGCGACACCCCTCACCTAAACAAACATCCATCTCCCTGGCTAACCAACCGATATAGGAAGAGGACTTTGTCACAAATACGTACAACAGAACCCTCCTCGACGATTTCAGCGTAGAGTCTATACGCGATGTACTCAAGGATGCAAGCTTCATCCTGCGGCAACTATCGGATTCAATACCAAAAGAAACCATTGACGCCCTTAACAACAGGCTGCTCCTTCGGTACACGTTCCTCGCAGCCATAGATCACACGCAGTACCGGACAGATCCAGCCCTCATCAGAAGCCCCTGGAAAGAGGCTTTGGACTTGCTTCCAGGCATCAAAAGCACTCATGCGCTGGGCAAACCCGTACCGGAGGCTTGCAGTGCGAAACTGCAGCGCAAGCTCGCCAGCACGATGCCGCCGCGACCTATTGTCGAGATAAGTTTTGACGATGCCTTTGGACACCTCACAAAGGTTATTAGCGACGGATTGGAAGTTGTCGGAGTGCTCGACTACACCGACGCCATCTGCCTTCAGGTACTTACCCCTCAAGCATATCCCCGTTCTCTCGGTCAACTACTTACTCACACAAACTATCCAGACCTACGTCACAACCTTCCAAGCAAAGAAGCCCCAGCCCCTAATCTTCGTCCGCACCCTCCTCCAAAGCTTCCTCTTCAAAGATATGCAAGTCCTAGGCCACAAGTCCATCCGCCAGCTCCTCGACGACGACCTCGCCATCGTCTCCCTCCCCAACAGCCCCCTCCTCGACCGCGCCAACGACGACGTCGAGGCCCCGCAGGACCCGCGCTATGCCATCGCCGAGACCATGGAATCCTTCCGCAGGCGCGCCGCCCAGCCCTACCTCGACATTCTCCGCACCTTTTGCCAGAACCGGTGCCGCGTCCGCCGCACGCTGTGCCACATTGTCCGCGACTGGGAGAACCTCCAGTTCGACGCCGAGGACATCGACCAGGTCCTTCAGGAGCACGTCGGCGAGCGGCCCCTCGTGTATCAGTCGGCCGCCGGCCAGCCCGTCGAGCAGTGGTCCCTCCCGCTCTCGTCGTGGGCATACCTGTACAAGATTAAACAGATGGAGTGGATCGTCCAGCTCGGCTTCGAGCTCGAGGTCTACCAGCCGGACGAGCTGGCCGGCATGTACTGGTACCTCAACTTCCTCGCAAAGAACCGCCTCCAGCACGTCGAGCGCATAAAGTCCTTTGTTGTCCGGAGTCTGAACCAAGCCCGCTCAGGGGCCAGCGGCAACAAATCAACATCATCATCCTCAGGCGGCCTCACACCCGCCGCAGAAGCCCAATACACCAAATCTCTCTCCTTCCTCCGCCAAACCCTCCTCGACGCCGCCGCAACAGAAGGCCTCGCCGACGCCCTCTGCTGCCTCTACACCGTCCTCCACCGCCACCGCCTCATCATCCCGGCTCCGCGACCCTACAGCACCGACGAGCTCCGCTACGAGCTGCGCATGAAACCCTTCGCCGCCATCGGCCTGCCCTCGCTCCCGACGTTTGAGGAATACACCATCGGCACGTCGCAGGCGGACTGCCCGTCGAGCGACCTGCTGGAGCTCGCGGACCGGGCCGTGACGGGCGCGAAGAGGGCGCTGGAGGTGATGAGCAAGTTTTCCGAGGCCGAGGCGTTTTCCGTCGGGTCGCATGATCGGTGGGTGCCGTCGGTGAAGAACGGGCTCAAGGCGTGCATAGCTACGGGGTTGGCCGTGTCGGTTGTGCGAAAGGCGTTAGACAAGTCGGGCGGCGAGGGCGGGGACCTGAAGGTCAAGGCTGAGGTGCCGACTCCTGACAAGTCGTATCACGAGTGGTGGATCGTTCCGCGAATCATACCCGTCGCATGAGATTTATGATCTGTTGTCAGAGACGATATGAGGCATATGCGTAGTAGATACGTAGTGGATTATTGATATCCTACTTTCTAAAGAAAGGAAAAAACTTCATAGAATACACCCACACCCCTTTCCAAATTTGCCTGGAATCATGTGATACCTATATCCAAAAGTAACCCACGTGTCCGTCCAACGCTTTGTCCAACCCGTTTTTTACCCCCGTGTTGATATTCCCACAAAAAATCAATACAGGTTCCTGTCTTGTCATGATAATGACTGCTTGCTTGCATATATGCTGAGCGGCTCAGGCGGATATGCGCATTTGTTGCCTCTAGCTTGCTTGTTTCTATATATATGCTGGTATGTCCCATCTCTCCACCTACCCAAGGTCATATTCTTTGACTCGGGGCAGGGGGGAGGAGTAAGTTGGGACCTGTTAGGACGTCAATTTACGCGCGCTTCTTGGCGGCAATCGACCTGAGCTTGACGGTCTGCTCGTAGAGAACGTCCTTGAAGGCAAAGAGCAATGCGGCGGTCAACACACTCTGGGTGACCTTGGGGCCGATACCTGCGGAGAAGAAAAATGGTCAGCTTTGCGCAAAGGGAAGACGGTAAATTCGTCTCGGAACAAGATCCGAGGTAACACTCACCCTTGTAGAGACCGGCGTATCCCTCCTCCCGGATGACCCTGCTAATGGCCTGGGACATGCCCTCCTTCTTCTCGCCGTTGCCGGCGACGTGCATCTGGCTCTTGACCGTGATGTACGGGTAGGTGACCGAGGTCGCAAACAGCTTGCCCGCGGCGCCGAGGAAGAAGGCAATGGTCGGCGTGACCCGCCTCTTCTTCTCGACCGTGTTCTTCATCTGCTCAAAGAGGGTGTACTGCAGGATGGGGTTGATGACGAGCACCAGCGCCGGGATGACGCCGTTGAAGAGGGCCTGGGGCCCCTCGTTCTTGAGGAGCGCCAGGAGGGTGCCGATGGTCGAGGGCGCCTTCTTGGGCTTCGCGGCCTGGGCTTCCTCGTCGCCGCTGGCGCTGGCCTCCTTGCCCTTGCCGCCGCGGGTGGTCATGCGGGTGTTGACGACCCAGATGGGGTTCGTGATGATGACGGTCGCGGAGCCAGCGATGGCGCCGGCGATCATGGACTCGACGGTCGTGAGCTTCTTGCTGGCGCGGCCGGCCTTCTCGGCGGCGGCCTCAAAGAAGGCGCGGGTCCACTCGTACCAGTAGTAGTAGACAAAGTTGGTGACGCTGATGCCGAAGAGGGCGGATTCGAGGCCCGAGTAGAGGCCCGAGACGCCCTCGCGGGCCACGATCTTCTGGACGGCCGTGAGGAAGGCCGAGTCGGCGCGCTTCGATTCGACTTGGGCTCGGGTGGAGAGGGTGATGAGAGGGTAGCTGTTGGGGGGCGCGCGCGCGGGTTAGAAAGAATGTCTCTTTTTTTTGAAGTACAAGACAAGGGGATTTTGCGGTGGCCTTACGTCAGGGCCATGGAGAGAAGACCACCGCCGGCACCGGCGAGGGCGTGGGCGACATTGTCGTTTTGGGGGAGCACTGGCTTCGACATGGTTGCTTGCGAATTGGGTTGAGGTTGGAAGGATGGTGGGTGTGGTGTCGTGGTATAAGTTCGTGGGAAAAGGTTCGATAGATGGGACGATGGTATTATCGATTTAAAACTGATGCTGCATCCAAATGCGGGTGATGATGGGGTGCAAATGGTATCGTTGCGACGGTTGTAGTAATAATAATAATGGCAGTGGTAGGAAAGGTTGCTGCTGACTGGCCCTATACCATCTCAAACAAGAACGTTTGGTCCCTTTTGGGTTCTGGGGAGCCGAGGTCAAGTAGGTTTTGAATGCCGAAGGGGGGGGGGGTCGGAGGAAGTGAGGGAGGGCAGTGATGGGCGTCGTCGTCTGCCGCTAAGAACCTTAACCCCAGTTATGTCATTATCTGCCGTGCTATATATTTCATGCGCGCGATCACAGGACAAGGGGGACGACAAAGGGGTCGCATGTGATGGGGCTCCTCCCCAGAAGCCTGGCACCGTGGCACGCCTGGCACGGCCTGGGAATCCGGGTCCCTTCGGGAGCTCGTGGGGTCGGAGCTATTTCGGGGCCCGGGAAGATATGCTTCATTTGGGAAGAAAATACGCTTTTCCATCTTGCATTTTTTCTTCGTTTCTTTTTAATGATCAAGCGCACTACGAATAGAACCTCTAAACAGAAGGAAACCAGCAGTAGAGTCAGGAGAATGTAGCATCTCAGTATAATCATGAGTAGAAGTGTCATATAGATAAAGCGGGAGAAATTGTACCTGGTGATTTTTACCCGGCAATGCCTCGGCACCGGTTCCGTCAGGATGTCAGCCAGCCAAGGTGCATTTGAAGAAACGGATGTACTGCCGAGCATCAAGGTAGAGAATGCCTATCGCATCCGCCTGATAGACCAGGGAAAATTCTGATCATGACAGCTTCGCGACCCTCTTTCCTTGAGATAAGGCGATGACAACAAAACCATCCACCAGCGGGATCCGTACTTGTGCAAGGGCGCATCAGCTAACTCTTCTCGAAGAAGTTGAAGAGGGACCATCTCTCGGAATGGGGATCTGGGTGGAACATTGAGGTGGACCTGTAACGGGACAGATCGGAACAGCGGGGAAAAGTTGTTCCCCTGTCATCGCAACCTCACCTCAATGGACCTGGAAGCTGACGGGACGGGACCCCCGCGACCGAGGGGCTGCGCTAAGCCTAATGCGGGACTAAGTAAACAAAACAGTTTTGACAACCCAAGTGGCCAGGCCCGACCGTCCCTCTGTGCAGACTGCAGCCCGCATGTACACGGCCACACCACCTCGCGACGACCCTTATCCAATGCATAGAATTTGACATATTCCTATTGCTAGCTTCACACGAAGGCCATTGAGCCTAGTTTTTTGTCGTCGTTTCTTCTTCTTTCGTAGAAAAGTCCATGCGACAGACATAGCGTGCGGCCTTTTTTTTTCTTGGTTCTTTTTGCACTTGCATTCGCGCATTTCTCAAAATGGCGACGCCACGGCCTAGAGGTGGTAGCGACGAGCTGCTTTCGTCGCCAGACCCGCTCAACGACACCGTCTCCTCCGCCCTCTACCCTTCATCGCGTCGCGTAACTCGAAGTCAGAGATCACAACGTCTATTCTCCCTCGGCGGCAGTAGTACTTCGCCTAGAAAGCAAATGTTCGAGCTCGAGGTTGGCGACGACCGTCAGCCGAAACGGCTGCTAGTGACCGTTGAAGCCGAGGGCGATTACGAGAATGTCGGTGTTGGGAATGTTGGGCGCAGATTGTTCAACGCAGACACACCCACCCTCAGCCGCGGCGCATACACAACCACAGTTCCTTTGGCCGGTGATAGAAAGAACACGGCCGTCAAGACACCCGCGCGGAGGGGTCGACCTCCCAAATCTACCGGAACGCCCAAGACCGGTACGGCGACGAAGCGGAGGGCCACAGCTTCTCCAAAAAAGACACCAAGACAAGCCCGCAGAGTCAAGACTATTACCGATTCAGATGGCTTAGAAACCGATATCACCATCCAAGGCACACCGAGATCAACCACCCGCCCCAGACGGGCCACCAATCGTCAACCACGCGAAGTCTCCCAAGACCCGGCGCCTTCTTCGATACCCCCCAGCACAAAACGACGTCGTGGCCGCCCGAAACGCGTCGAGTTTTCCGATCAACCTGTCGAAACAGTCGAGGACGATATCGACCTTGGCGGCGTGGCGCCTTCTGACGACGGTCTCGCAGCGAGCATGGAAGACATGATTGTAGACGATCCCACACCGAGACGAGAGCTCCCCGCGAACCAGATGCCGGAATCCGAACCAGATATCTGGATGCAGACGATGTCAGACCAAGCAACGCCCCGCGCATCAACACAAGACAACCCAATCGCCCTCAGCCCGACACCAGCTTATATGCAAGATAAGAGCCCAACACCGTCTGAACAGCTTCACTCCGAATCTGAGAACGAGCCCGCATACAATGAATATGATTTCGCGCCGGGCGCGCCTAGTGACATCTCATCACTCATTGGCGACAACGACGGAAATGACGAACTTCGCGACCAAGATACTGTTGCTCAAGGCGAGGATTTCAGTATGATTTTCGCCAACTCAATTCCCTCCATGAGGGGCCACATGAGCATGCATGACCTTCGCTCAGAAGATGTTGGTGAAGAGACCGGCTTCATCGTCAACCAGACCCTCGAGACTCTGAGGCGAAGCGGTGCCCTGCATGTTGACGATGATGAGGATGAGATCGACAGTATCCCCGCCAAGCAATCCTCACCAGTACAAAGTCCCCCAGCTCAAGAGGAAGAAGTTCAGTCGCAACAGGAGATGGAGGCGCATGTGGATCCCGTTGTGGCCACAGAGACTGAAGAAATAGAATCTCGGGTCGCCCTTCCGTCGCTGCCTCGTCCCGATCTCCCACCTCCGTCTCTCGCATCCAAGGAGACGTCACCGAGCAGAGGGTATCAGTCGCCAGGCCGAGTTAGAAGCAGTCCTCGACGCAAGTCTATCCCGCTTAGCAGACAGCTTATGGAGTCCAAGGTCAAGCAGATGGATGCGGAGAACTCAAGGCTGGAGGAGTCGAGAATGGACACCTCGCAGATTGACAACTCATTTTCCAGCGTGCCCTCGAGAGTCTTGGCTGCAGCAACACCTGGTGCTAAGAGCACCCGGCGGAGCTCGATGGTGAATGAGGAGATGTCTGTCATGTACGAAGACGACTTCTCTGAGATCCCGGAAGTCTACCTGGAAGCTGCTACGCCTGGGAGACCGAAGCTGCCTGAAGTCAATGACCTTGAGACGCAGCACGAAATTGATCTAGAGATTGGGCGAGAGGCCGACGTCTCTCAGGCACGCAAGGAGACCTTGATGGACGAAGTACACGATGAGACCGTTATGAACGAGGCACAGGAGGAAACCATCATGAATGAGGTACACGAAAAAACCGTTATCGATGAGGTACCAGAAGAAGATCAAAGGGAGGAGGACGCCGAGGCTGAAGAAGCGGAAGAGGCAGAGGAAGAGGCTCGTAAGAGTTCACCCAAGTCCGCAGCCCCATCTATTGCGAGTGTTTCTTACACTCGATCAGACTCAGCCAGAATGCCGACACCAGACGATACGCCCTCACCCGCCGAAGTTCCTGTCCCTCAGTCAGACGCCAAGACCATCGAAGCAGCCCAAAGTTCGCCGACTGCTGCGTATTCTCAGTTGCCCGAAGAAGCAAGCTCTGATCTTCCGGTCCCGGACTTGACGGTTGGTCTTCCTGCGACCTCCAATGAGTATATTACGCCCGTTGGTCCTGTCTCGTCCCCGATCCCATCGCCCGATGTCAACCTCTTGGCGCCTCGTGCAGCATCACCGGACAACGGAGCTCGCCCTACGCTGTCTCCTATTGTGAGAGCTGGACGGGCTCTGCAGAGCGTCACGTCTGATGCTTCATCGCCTCCCCGCCAGAACTCTCTTGGTAGCCCCTTCAGGCCTACCACAAGCAGCAGTCAACCTCAGTCTGCCGCGAAATCGACTCGCAGCTGGACTCAGCCATTGTCCAACTTGATCCAGGCGGGAGCTCAATTCTTTGGTTCCCCGACTCGCGCCGTGGCACAACCTCAGCCTCAACCCCTCGCGCCGCAATTAACAGGAGAGCCGTTTGATGACCCATTCGGCCCCGAGAATGACCATACTGGCCAGCCCAGCTTTATGGAGGCCTTGAGTAAGAGCATGCGGACTTCTCCCGAGAGAGAAGTACCCGAGGTCTCCTTCTCAATGTCGGGATCGCTTCAAGTGGCTCCAGGCGATGAGGCCGATGAGATGAGCTGGATGCAAGAGGCTCCTGCCCCACGCGAGCAGCCCTTCGCCCAGTCGCGCTCTTTCCATTCTAGTACAAACACAGCTTCTAGATCTATGCATAGTCGGCGACAGAGCTTCGAGATTAGTCTCGTTAGTCCGGATCGTGCCGAGGATACTGAAGTTGAGGAAGAGCAGCCTGGAGCAGAAGATGAGGAGGAGGAGGATGATATTTGGGCAGTCGAAGCATCGCGTCCGGCTTTGAACTCGGGCCGCCAGCAGCCTTTTACGAAGCAATCAGCGCCGTCTGTTCCTCCGAGGCGCGCAGCTCTTCCTAGTCCCTGGCAGAAATCCGCCGAACCTGCCCCCAAGCAGACGCTGTTCACACCAGCGGTGTCACGAAATCGCAAGTCAGACTTTGCAGACGGCGAAGCAGAAGACTTCTCGATGCTTTCTCAACAACAGAGCCGTCAGAAGCAGATTCCTCAAAAGGCATTTGAGGTTGCCCAGAGGTCGTCCGCCAAGAAGGATCTGGCTGCCTTCTTCTCTTCTCCCAATCTCCTACCTGGAGCAGAGGGCGTCAAGGAGGTCTTGGACAAGAAGCGACTGCATCTTCAAGGTGCTGCCCAGCGCCCTGAGCTGGTTGATGCCGGCCTCGAGACAAACTCCATGTTCCCATCTGTCCCGCAAAAGGCTTTTGCCCCCTCCGCCAGTGGCCGTTCGGATTTGTTCTCGCCCGCCAAGCCTTCGGCGACCAAGTCTATCGCTGACACGTACGACTACTCGGATCCCGTGTCGGCTATCAAACCGTCTGTCCTCGGGAAGTCGGTCATGGACACCCGTCGCGAGTTGTTTGCGTCAACGAACCTCCGCAGTAGCACCAGACACCGGTCCGAGATCCCAGACTCCCAACCCAACATGTCGGACGAGGTATCTTTCCCTTCTGTGCCCCAGAAGAAGAACTTTACGCCAAACGTGGGGCCCCAAAAGAAAACCCAGAACAACCTCTTCAGCAAGGCCCCCTCAGCGGCGCCAGTGCCCTCGTTGACGCCGGTGCGAATGCAGCTCACGCGCGCCGACATCCAAAAGTGGCAGGAGAGTAGTGCCTCCGCCATTGCGGAAAGCTCGCCCACCGCCGCCGAGTCCAAGTCGGTATCGGAGTCCGAGTCGGAGCAGCGCGCCCGCGTCCTCCGGCCGTTGCCCGACAGGAACATGTCGCCGACAAAGTCCTGCCTGCGGTCCCCGTTGAAGCCCCGCACGCCGGGCCGGGTCGTCGAGTTCACGAGCAGCGTGCTCTCGCCGCTCGCGCAGGCCCAGGTCCGCGCTGAGCGGCGGTTGTCTGCTAGTTCTAGCAGTAGCGCCGCTGCTGCGCAACAGCAGCAGCAGCAGCGCATCGCTGCCATTATGGAGGAGGAAGACAGGGAGAATGGTGACGTTGCTAGTGCTGAAGTCACCGTCGTTGAGGGAGACGAGGACATGAACGAGGACATGGACATCTCCATGACCGACGCGCCACAGATGATGAACGATGGCCAGCAAAAACCAGCAGCAGCGCTCGTCCAACAGCAACAAGAACCCGAGCCCCAGCGTCTGTCGCAGACAATGTGGTCGCGCGACCACTGGCTGCTCCTAGACGACATCATCCAGCTGCGCCGCGAGGGCCCCTTTGACTTTGAGTTCCCCGACGACTTTACCAGCAAGTCGGCCTGGTTACTCGGCCGGTCCGTCAATTCGCACGGCGCCAGCTTGAAGCTGGAGCAGTGGCATCTTGACGTCGTGGACGCCTTCCAGGCCGAGGTGGGCGTGTGGAGCGAGGAGGCGCTCGCCAAGAGGGTGTTTTCGCTCATTGTTGGGGAGGAGCTTAGGAGGCAGGGGAAGGCTCCCAAGGCTCCTTCGGTCCGGTTTTCGTGAATGGTATACATGCATAGTCATGAGGTTGATTGGGGTGTGTGCGTGTGCATATTGGGCGTTCTTGAATTTGGGAAAGTGTCCTGCTTAATGTTGCAGGACATATGATTTTCACGACAGTCTCATGCTTAATGAGTGTATACAAGCTCTCACCCACGTTTATAAGGGGAAGGTTTGGGAGGCTGGGCGTCACAGGGCATCGTTATGTTTGATTTTGCTTTTTGCTTCTTTTCTTCATTGGTCACTAGGGCGCCTCGCCCGCAAAACTGTTAGGATACCACTTCATCAGAATGAATTTCTGTCTCATGCACCGCCGGCATTCATGTCTATGGTAATAGTACAGTCCCAAATCCATTCCGCTTTGCCAACCCTGGACGCCTGCCTTTGTCATCTACTCGAGCATGGAGGCCTGGTTGGTGTAAAGAACATCCACCACGCTGCTCAGCTTCTCAACCGTAGCCAGGGCGTGGTCGTATGCGCTGTCGCGCTCAGTCTCGTCAAAGATGATGAGGCATCCCGCGCCCTGATCCAGCACACCGATGATGACCTTGTCCAGGATCATCTGAGAAAGCTTACGCTCCACCTGTTGCGTGTCGAGGCCGACCATCTTTGCGATGTGGCTGATCTCGACGCGGGAGAAGGGTTCAATAACCTTGATAAGGTTTTGCTCCAACATGGCGTCGTACAGACGTCGCAGGTGGTTGCGGATGAAGGCGTCGCTGCCGAGCTGCTCGCGGTAAGACTGGAGGGCCTGCTCATACTCCTCCAATGATCGGTTCGAGTGCGCACGGGCAACTGCCTTCATGGCTTCGAGGTTCTTGCTGGCGTACTTCTGTGCCTGCTTGGACGTCATCAGGTTGTTGACGTCGTCAGCCAGGTTCAGCATGATCTTGCACAGAAGCATGTACTGCAGAGCGGCGGTAGCCTTGACGGACTCGTCCTGAGTGTGGTAGCCATCGAGGGCCTCGATGAAGTAGGAGAAGGCGGTGTTGAAGTCCTTGTCTTCTGCGTGGAGCATACCGCTCTGCATATCGAGGTGGGCTTGAAGAAGAGGCGGGGTGTAGACGGAAGCGGCGCTCGTGCGGGCGCTGGTGAGGGCGGCGCGAGCTTTGGGGATGTTGCCGAGGGCGTGGTAGACACGCGATTCGAGGAGCTGGACTTCGACGAGGACGAGCTTGTCGTCCAGGCGCTTGAGCTCGCGGAGCAGGCCGTTGATGAGTGTGAGTGCGTCGTAGTAGGATTGCTTCTGCATCAGGAGCGCGACCAGGCGGGTCTCGAGATTCTGGCGCAGGAAGCTGCGGCGCTCCGAAGTTGCCCATTCTATACATGACTTGGTGACTGCGATCTGGATATCGGTGCTGCCCTCAATCTTCTCGAATAGGTCAAGCAGGGAGCGGACTGGAGGGGTCCTAGTCAGCACGCCGTTCTATCACAACTGAGAGGAACAATAAGACGAATCCATACCAAGCTTTGCTGTCTTTGCCTTGGCGAATGAAGACAGGGTTGTCCGGCTTTTTGTGATCAGGTCAACGAGCTCCTGCGTCTTCCTGAGCGGGTTGTTAGCAAACATGGGGTCCCCACGATGTCATCACCGGACCAAGGAGGGGCTCACTTCTCATCCCGGTACAACTCTCCCAAACCAAGCAACGCCGTCTCGTACTCCTTCACCGCAGCATCGGAAGTTGCGGAGGAAGGGGGCTGAGAGATGATTTCCTTGTAGAGCTGCTCTGCCTTTCTTGGATCTGTCTTGGCCATCTTCTGTGCCTCCTGCACTCTCGCCGATTCGCCCTGAGCCATCCTGACTGATTGATTTCTCGTCAAATCGGATATGATAGTTTCGAATTGGATTGCTGGATTGAGCTCTTGTGTCGTCGGTGGTGTGAAGTGGTGGTTTGCAAGAAGATCGCCGGATTCGTGGTGGGTTGTAGGTAGCTTGGTACAGTGTCAAGAGCTCCAGCCGCCGCCTTCAGACAGGTCCAGGTTGCCATGACCGACGCAAGCAAGCCCAGCCGGCCAGCACCTTCGGTGGGCTGAAGGGCAGGGGCCACGCGGACCGAGATTGATCCGCAGCCTTATCTGATTGGCAATAATCCCCCGATAAGTCCCCACCCCCACTTAAATTTTGGGAGAAGTTCTGTGAGACTTCGGAGCCAACGAGGATTCTATGGTCAAGCAAGACACAGTATCGCGCCCGCCAACATGAAGATCAAAGCTATTTCCCGGAGCGTGGAGGCCTACCAGCCTCCAGGCGCAAATGCGCAAAAGCTTCCTCGGTAATTATAGACCACTGGCATTCGCAGACCTTGGCTAATAACAATACAGCAACCTCGATCCCGCCCAGCACCCTATGGAGCGCGCCAGAGAGTAAGTAGGCTTCGCCACATGCTGCGATCCAAGCTGACAAAGGAATACAGGTACACCAAAGCCCTGAATGCTGTCAAGCTCGAGCGCATGCATGCCGCACCTTTCGTCGGACAGATGGGCAGCGGCCATGTCGAAGGAGTATGTCCAAAATGAGAAGCAGAACGTCTGTTGCCCCCGATTTCTAACAATTGAACCAGGTTTACTCGATGGCCAAAGACCCGAACTCTCTCAAGCACATGGCATCGGCCAGTGCCGATGGTGTGATCAAAGCTTTCGATCTGACGAGCCGAGCCGAGATTTGGCAGACGAAGAGCGCCCATTCCAATATCGTGCGGAGTCTCTGCTGGACGAAGGACGGAAAGCTCCTTAGTGCCGCAGCGGACAAGACTATCAAGCTTTGGGATCCTTACAACACACCAGGCGACTCTCCGCCGATTTCCTCGTGGCTGGGAACCAATGGTTTCCTCAGCTTGTCCCACCACCGAACGCGAAATGCCTTTGCGGCGTCCTCTTCCTCCAGTGAGATCGCCATCTACGACCTCGAGCGACAGAGTGCGGCACCCGAGGTGCTGCGCTGGCCGAACGCGACCGACTCCATTAACTGTGTTTCCTTCAACCAGGTCGAGCAATCCGTTCTAGGAAGTACAGGCGACGACAGGAGTATCGTCCTCTGGGACGTCCGCACTGCGATGCCCTTGACCAAGACGACGATGACGTTTACCTGCAACTCTCTCGCCTGGAACCCGATGGAAGCCTTCAACTTCGTCGTTGGTAGCGAAGACCATAACTGCTACGTAAGTCACCTGAAAATTGGATTACCCCTGAACATGCGATTGACAAGAAGCAGATGTTCGACATGCGCAAGATGGACAGAGCGCTCAACGTCTTCAAGGGCCACGTCGCCGCCGTCATGAGCGTCGAGTTCAGCCCGACAGGTGAAGAATTGGTTTCCGGATCCTACGACCGAACAGTGCGCATCTGGAACCGCGACCAAGGACACTCCCGCGACATGTACCACACCAAGCGCATGCAGAGGGTGTTCAGCACCATGTTCTCCCCCGATTCAAAGTATGTTCTTAGTGGTTCCGACGATGGCAACGTCCGTGTCTGGAGAAGCAACGCTACGGACAGATCAGGCATCCGATCCGCCAAGCAGAGACAGGCGCTCGAGTACAACGAAGCCCTGGTTGAGCGATACAGCCACATGCCGGAGGTCAGACGTATCAAGAAGCACCGTCACCTGCCTAAGGTTATTAAGAAGGCCGGCGAGATCAAGAACATTGAGCTCTCGTCGATCAAGAGGCGCGAGGAGAATGAGCGCAGGCACACCAAGAAGCAGTTCGAGAGGCGGAAGGGCGAGAGAGAGAAGCAGATCTTGGCCCGAGAGAAGTAGGCTCATTCTGGATTTGCCACTGCTGGCGTTATTCTCTTGCATTGTTCGGCGTTGGGGCGGCTTGTTATGTCCATGTAAAAAGGAAAAGGGGGAATAGTCGTGTGAAAAGTGCAACTTAGATAGGGTTATACCACGGATCAGCTCGTTTGGTCAAAAGAATGTAGCAATGAAAATGAAATAGAATCATCAAGCAGGCTCATTAATCTCATTCATTTGGCGGGGACTACCTATCCGCAATGAAGTAGGTATCCAAATCTGCGTCTCCGGCCTCCGCCTGCTCTCGGACGGCCGACATGTCCGCCGGGCTCGGATAAGCTGAACACAGCTCGACGGCGGCGCTGACGGGAGTGGGGTCTCGGCTCGTCTGGCCGTGGAAGATGGGCGGCTGCCAGGGGCTCCGGGGCGTTTTAGTGGTCGTCCCACCAGGGGTTTCCAGGGGAAGCTGCCACCAGGGGAGGGGCCCCTAGGGCGCTTGGCCACCGTTTCAACGCCTCAGGTCCATCCACATGTGACGAGTTCCCGCCAGAGCGTCAAGCTCCCTTGGTGGCCCAATTGAGGTTTGGCTGTGCGCTTCTTCGTCTCATCTTTGTGCATTTTTCCACTTCCAACGCTGGACGACACATCTTCACTTTTTTTTTTTCCGAATTTCTTCTTCTCATACTCTTCTCCTATTTGTTCGAATCTGTACAGAGAGCGACATCTATACGATCTCTCCTAATAGTCAACTCTCGGAACGACGTAGAGCTCCTCCGCTGCTCGACCCCTCGCACCACCACCACCAACATCCTCCCCCAGAAGCCCGCGATGGAATACCCACGCCCACCCCAAAGCGACTCGTGGTTCGCGCCGCTCTCCCTCGATCTCCTCGTTAAGGTCTTCAAGATCACGTTCTTCCACCCCTTCGTCTCGTGGATCATCCCCCTCTGCTTCCGCGCCCAGGCTCTCCGCTGGGACGCCCCGCCCATGCTCGTGTCCATCGCCTGGGCATGCTTCATCACCGTCTGCTGGATCGCGCAAGCGGTCAACCTGCGCATCGCCTACGGCCTGCCGCGCGAGGTCGACCTCACCGAGGAGGTCATCGTCATCACGGGCGGCGCCAGCGGCCTGGGTCTTCTCATCGCCGAGGTGTACGGCATGCGCGGCGCGACTGTGGCGGTGTTGGACGTCAATGACATGGAGAATGGCGAGGCGCGGGGCGTCACGTTCTACAAGTGCGACGTGACGGACAAGGCACAAGTTGCGAGGGTTGCGGCGCAGATCGAGAGAGATGTGAGTTTACCAACCGCTTACAAGGCCAGAATGCGCCATCGCAAAGAACAGAAAGGCTAACACTCCTCCAGCTCGGCATCCCAACCGTCCTCATCAACAACGCCGCTATCGTAAAGGGCAAGTCCCTCCTCGACCTCGAGTTCGAAGAGATCGAAAAGTCCATCACCACGAACCTGACCGCACACTTCTACACCCTCAAGACCTTCCTCCCGCCCATGATCCGCGGCGGCAACGGCGGCACCATCGTCACAATGTCCTCAGTCCTCGGCCACCTCGGCGCCGCCTCCCTGACGGACTACACCGCCGCCAAGGCCGGCGTCACAGCCCTGCACAAGTCCCTGACCGCCGAGCTCGCCGCATCCCACCCAGAGATTCGCACCATCCTCGTCGAGCCGGGCCAGCTGTCGACCCCCCTCTTCTACGGCGTGCAGACCCCGCACGCCTTTGTCGCGCCGGTCGTCGAGCCCGTCGACGTCTGCAAGGAGGTCATTGCCGCCATCGACGCCGGCAAGAGCGCGCACGTCGCGATGCCGCTGTATGCAAGGTGGATTCACTGGTACAACGTGCTCCCCGTCGCCGTCCAGCAGATTGCGAGAAAGGTTGCGCGCGTGGATACCTCCATGCAGACGTTCATCGGCAGGCAGGAGCGGGGGATGAGCGAGAAGAATGGGAGTCTGATCTAGATTGTGTGTGTGTGTGTCGTTTCTTATGTTTCCCTGCACAAATATCCATGGGAAATCCTGCGGTGCCGGCACCGAGTGTGGTTTTCTCTGTAATGCCAACAAAAGGCGGGACATATAAATACGATCAAAGTCTCAGGACATTTACGAATGAAAATATACTATAATTTCAAAAGAACATATCCCGAATCTTGCCAAGTCTCAGTCCTTCAAGTGCTCGCCTCCTTGTCCTGTGAGCCAGACAGGTCCTGGGCAGGCGATACCCTGTTCAGCCCGTCGAGTTTTTTATACGTCAGAGCATCGAGGTCGATTCCGTCGAGAGCACGCGCCTACTCAAGATTAGCTTTCTTACCTCACCTCGCGGAGTAACACCATTATAAGCGAGCAGTGAGGTGGTGGGGAGGCGGTTGACAAGGGAAATCGTACACTGATGCCATAAAAGTCCTCCTTCAAAAAGTCGATCCCCAAACTCGATCCGCAGGCACCGCAAAACATTTGGTCCTTGGTCTTGGTGTTGAACCGGTAATTCGTGCACTTCTCGCGCGAGCCGTCGTGCCAGGTGACGTCCTTCTTGTTTGGGTCTGTTTTTGGCAAGAAAAAGTTAGTTGTTGCTACGACTTTTGTAGATTTTAACCCTCGCCTCGGGAATATGCTATGGATTTATGAGAATATGCCACAAGCAGGGGGTTTCTTCATGATCGAAGCCCCTTCGGCTCTAAGTCTCGATATGAAAGAAAAGAGCTTACAGATGAGAAGGTACCCGCTGCGGCGGCAGATGGAGCAGTTGCAGTTGAGGACCTTGTACCCTTCCTCCAACGGCGGCGAGAGCGTGAGGGAGAATTTGATGGTGCCGCAGTGGCAGCTTGCGTCGTATGTCTTTGACGGCTTGGGGGCTTCTTCTGACGACATTGTTTTTTCTTGAGATGGCTCTTACTATTACGAGTTCGGGTTTTGGGGCCGATGAGTCTAAACAAGAGTTGGAATTAGTTGAGGATCTTTGGTTAGATTTGGCCTCTAATATTGTGTTAGACGCGGTGCGAATTTGAGTGTGAGTGAAGAGTGAGGTGCGAGTGGTGGTGGTGATGGTGATATGACGCTGCTTACTTAACCAGCTCACAAGTGGTTCACAACTCGCTTACCTGACTTGACTATGTCAATGGTGGACTCTGAGGAGGAAACTCGAGAAAGTCGTGCATGTATGCAAGCTTGCGGGAGGTTCTAAGAAGTGAAATGACCCTACCATCAATGTTGTATGAAGAAGAGAGGTTGCTATATAGACGTGAGCTTCTAACAACTTGTGTCATAACACAGGCAAGAGGGGGAGGGGGGTCGTAGAGGGATCCGTTAATAACAAGTGTAAGAGCTATCTGAACCCAGCTTATCAAGAACACAGCCACATATTTCCCCTCACTCTTTTCATTTCCCATCACGTTTGAGTGTAAGCATTACACTCGTAGCGTTGGACCTAGCCCGTAAGATCACAGACCTGGCTAAGGTAAGGTAGCTACTGGACACGGAACCTACTGGGGCCGCACCCCTTGAACTTCACCATGTACAGGTAGTAATTGGCTTGCACCAAACGTCTGCTATTCTGTACGTCGAGTTGTGAATCAGACTTTGTATGGGTAGGTGGACGGGTACAGAAATAGACGGGCCACAGAATCCATCGTCCGGCATCGTTCGACCTGCCGCATCGGGCCATGTCACCGCGCTGCGCGCCCTGCGAATGGGGATCCCAGAGATGCGGGCAAGGGGCCTGACACTAAGGTAACGGGTACCACCACATCATTGAGATGCCGATTTGCGGGGTCTTGGCATGATGTGATCAATAGTCGAACAGAGTGTATGGATAAACGTGCCTGTTACTAGCAGGGAGGGAGCAGGATGGGTCTCTCAACTGCGAGCATATTCTATCGCTGGGAGAGCACGGGCAGTCTTTCAGGTGGATACTTGGATAAGCTTATTCCATATTTTTCTAGCATTAAGTTGTTTTGGTTGGGAGGTTGTAATTAATCGTGGAAGACTACGGTAAGGTTTGTGTGTAAAGGCAAAAAAGGTGGTATCAGATGAACGATGCTCGTCATAAACATCTTTAAACAAGAGATGAAAAAGCCCTGCTCACACTTTTTCCCCCCGCCTCCATGGTATCATCAAATTCCAAAGACCACATGAAACAAGACAGATTTGTGTCTTTATACATACGAGGTAAATATCGCCGTCAAATCGCAGAATATTGAGGTTAGGTTTTTGTTCGGATGGCAAACGGTCGAGAAAATACTATTCTTTTACACAGCATTCTCGGCCTTGTTGCCGCTCGTCCTCGCTCTGCTCGCTTCCATCGCGGCAATGGACGGCGGCTTCTCGTTGTCCTGATGGTGGCTGGTGTGTCCGTTGCTCAACGGCGCAGGCACTAGGTCCTCATCATCGGGCTCGTCGGCGGGCGCGGCGAAAGTCGGGGCATACGCAGACTTTGCGCGGATCTTGTGGCCCCAAATGTAAAAGATGACGGGAATGGGCACGAGAGCGATGGCGACGCAACCCAGCAACGTCGAGGCCCACTGGATGCCCATGCCGTTGAACATGTAGCTCGCGAACAGCGGGAAGCCGGCGCCGCAGAGGGAGCGGAGGAAGGTGTTGCCGGCGATGGCGGAGGCGGCGAACATGAGGTAGGCGTCGACGAGGTAGTTGAGGGCCTGGAGGAAGATGGACATGAGGCCGAAGCCGGTGAAGAGGCCACTGAGGGTGGGTACGATCCAGTGGACGTCGGCGCGGTAGCCGGACCAGCCGAACCAGAAGATGCCGATGGCGAAGAAGACGCCGCCGGCGATGACGCTGGGGAGGCGCCACTCGGGGATGGGCACGCCGTTGTTGGCCTTGAGCTTGCGGAGGTACCACGGCTGCTGGAGGAGGACGGTGACGCCGGCGATGAGCTGGCCAGTGATCATGCCGAAGAAGGTGAGACCGGACTGGCCTGCGCCGAAGCCGTGAACGCCGCGGAAGACAAAGGGGTAGGCGGTGAGGAAGAGGTACAGCAGGCCGTAGATGAAGGCCATGTAGACGGACAAGGCGGTGACGATGGGCTCGCCAAAAAGGAGACGCATGGGGCGGGAAAAGTTCTTGTTGACGAGCTCCTTGAAGTCGATTTCGATTTCCTCCTGCTTGGCGTGGATGCCCCAGTTGCGAGTGCGGCGGCGCAGCTCTGAGGCCTTGCTGACGAGGATCACGGGCGGGTACGTCTCCTCGAGGAAGAAGAGGTCGAGGAAGAAGGCGAGGAAGCCCATGAAGGAAGGGATGTACTCGGTCCAGCGCCAGCCGAGGTGCGACTCGACGATGAAGCCGCCGATAAAAGGCGCCAGGAGCGGGCCGGTGAAGACGGCCATGGAGAAGACGGTGATGGCGGTGCCGCGGGTGCGGTTGTCAAACATGTCGGAGAAGACGGCGGCGACGACAGCCAAGGGGCACGCGCCGAAGAAGCCGGCGAAGAAGCGGCATATCAAGATGGTCTGGAGGTCCTTGGCGACGGCGCAGCTGATTGTGAAGATGGAGAAGCCAAACATGGAGAGGACGAGGGGCAGTCTGCGGCCCCTCAGCTCGGAAAGGGGTGCCCAAAGTGTTGGACCAAACGCAAAGCCCAGGACGTAAAAGGAGACGCCGAGGGTGCCGACGGTGGCGGAGACGTTGTATTCCGTTGCAATAACTTGGGTCGCTGCTGAAAAGATACTCGAGGTGAAGGCCGACGTCATCGTGGTGTAGCCAAGCATTGCGGCTGTAAGCAACCTGCGAGCCAAGACATGTCAGTTACTAACGCCCCCTAGCCATATCTCACCGAAACTCGACAATTGGCATTGACGAACTTACTTCTTCTTAATCGGCCAGTTCTGCGCGTGCAGAGGATCTTCCGGCCCATCGAATTCCACAACGTAGTCCTCCTGCTCCGGCAAAGGTGGCGGGTACGGCTTGCCGGCGCCCATGGCCGGTAGAGGCCTCCTCGACTCCCTGCTCTTGATGCTGCGGCCGACGGTGTTGGAGTGCTGGCTGCGGGCGGTAGCAATGCGGCTCAGGGCCGTCGGGTGACGCTCGAGGTCATTTTGGGTCGAGACGCGGCTGATGCCGGTGCCGGTGGGATACGCGGCGGTGCGGTCGCCCGTGTGCGAGGCCGTGGAGGAGGAGGTTGAGGAAGAGGACGCGGAGAGGACCCGTTCGATCTCGTGGCTTTCGCGGCCGTGGTAGCGGTTTGGAGAGGCGGCGCGCTCGGCGTCCGCGATTTCGCGGTCGACTTCGTCCATTGCCATTGTTGGACGAGGTCGCTATGTGCGGGTTGGGTGTTGGTTTGGATGTTGTTTTGAGATGCTAATGTCGGCTATAGATGCTTGACCAAAGTGAAGAACGAGCCAGGGTGTCTCGCGACAGATCAAGCAGTATGTATATAACGCCAATGGCTAGAGACTTTCCTCGGACGCGGAGTATGGGAGCAAAGAGCTCATGCAATGGTGCGTTGTGCTGACAGGTAGCTTGGAGCTATTGTGAAGGCGGCGCGCCGAGCTAGCTACGTCAATCTAGTGTAATGTGGAAAAAAGGGTCGGTGATGTGATGTAGGGCCGTCTCCCAAGGCAATGTAAGCGCCAGTCAGATTCGGGGGAGTTCTAGATCGGGGACAATGGCAGGAACTGTGCGATGATGTGTTCGTAGGAGGGGTATAAACTGGAGATGCTAGATGCGCGATCAGACAAGTTGGGTGGTCCCTTCGTCTTATGAATAGTGAATTTGTCTGGGCGTTTTCCGAAGATCCAGAGATATATGAGAGAGATGGGGGGGAAGGCGAAAGATCAGTTCAGATGAAAAAGCAGAGTATTAGTGAGGAAGTGGGTTTGAGGTTGAGAGAGAGTGGATAGGGAAGCGGACTATAGGTGCGCAAAGGCCGAGGGCGAAGTACTATGTATGGAGATAGTAACATAGAAAGACGAAGCAAGACGAGGACGGAGATGGAAAAAATCAGATTTGTCAAGTCAAGTATGAATGACTCTGTTCTCAGCTGATGGATGGGAGCCGGTACATCTCCCGGGTGACCAAGCCAAGGGGGAAAGAATGTCGGGTGTGAGTACTCGAACATCTGGGTCAGGACGGTAAGGTAGCAAATGGGGTCGGCAAGGTCCCACTTGGGGAGGCCTAAAAGGAGGAATCCATGGAAAATCCACGGGCGCAACATGCCTGCTGAGATTTTCCTTCTTTGCGGTGCAATTTTTTGGCTTGCGCGCCCAATGCCCATACAAAAACTTCGGCAAGGACTTCGGCATCACAAAAAGAAAAGCGCGAACGACACGAGCCGAGTGGGAAAAAGGGTGTGGCCCAGGCACACGCCGCACACTGCAGAAAGGAGGAAAGACAACCTGGAATGTGGGCCCGGACGGGGCCGGAGGCGGTAGCCGGCACTGCAACCTGGGAATTCTCGAATTCTTGGTGGTGATGGAACCCAGCCGAGGGATGGGCAAGGTGGGGTTCCCATCTTGGCCTTTTGGATTGTCAGTGTCGCAGCTTTTTTTTTTCTCCTTCTAATGTATGCAGCCGTTCGTACCTTGCCCTCCCCTGACCCGATCCTGCACGATCGATAGAGCCCAGGGAGGCAGTGTTGATACAAATTCGACATGTTGCACGATCTTTCTTACAAATGCGGTTCGTTCTTAGTCACTTGCCAAAGGTTAATGTACCTGTAGACAGACGCATATACGCAACAAACAGAGAGTGAGAGGAGACTATGGATTAGACTTCCGTCATCCAATAAGGCTACCAACTTCAATCCATCCGGGAAGGAACACTCAATCGAACTTTTCGCAGAGTTTCTGCACACCCACAGCCCTCCCGATGGCTCGAGCAAAGCAGTACCTACCTTACTCGGTAGAGTAGGTACACAG